CTGTGAAGCAATGGACAGAAGACTAAAGGCCTGGGCATTCCTAGTCTCATATAAAAATTATGGGTGATATCAAATCTGCCTCCTAGGAATGTTGTATCTGTCCATTAAAATTGAAAAGCTACTGCATTGTTCAACAGGTGGCAAGTGTTTAAGAAACAGCCCTGGTTGCTATTATCATTTTCTTTCTTGGTCCCTGTCTTCTTATCTGTAAAATGAAGGCTTTGGATTAGGTCACTTCTAAAGTTATTCTAGGGGCCAGCGCTGTGGCATAGTAGGTAAAGCCGGCGCCTACAGTGCCGGCATCCTAAATGGGCGCCAGTTCGAGTCCCAGTTGCTCCACTTTTGATCCAGCTTTCTGCTGTGGCCTGGGAAAGCAGTAGAAGATGGTCCAAGCCCAAGCCTTTGGGCCCGTACACCCACATGGGAGACTCAGAGGAAGTTCCTGGCTCCTGGCCTCTGATTGGCGCAGCTCTGGACATTGCAGCCAATTGGGGAGTGAACCAGTGGATGGAAGACTTCTCTCTCTCTGCTTCTCCTCTCTCTGTGTAACTCTTACTTCCAAATAAATAAATAAATCTTTTTAAAAAATAAAGTTACTCTAGATTGTTCTATAGATAATAAATCAATTTGAAGTTTCCAGAAAATCACCAGCTAAGAGGCTGTATGAGTTTTAGAACACTTTATTAAAGAACCAATAAGATCCTGTTGTTTTTTTCCTCCATACTAGTAGGGTTTCTCAACCGTGGTACCACTGGCACTCTGGATTGGATAACTCATTGTCATGGGAGCTGCAGGATTGTAGGTAATTTGAAATTTAGGCTTCTTGGCCGCTGCTGGCTTCTGCCCACTCCCCTAACCACTGCAGGCACTTGGAGCGTAAACCAGCCAATAGGAGTCTCTCCCTCCAACCCCTGCTTCCCCTTGTACATGTCTCGGAAGTAAATAAATAAAAAAGAAAACAAGACTCTCTCTCCTAGCTATTCTGACAACTGAAAATATTTATTCAAGACCTTCCCTGGTCGGCCAGTGGGAAACCCAGGAGGAAGTAGACGTTCTCCATGTAATGCGACAAATGGCATGACCGTGACCCTGACCCTGACCCTAACGGCTGAGCTAGAGGCCTGCTGAAGCCCAGCGGGAGTGGAGAACTGGGTCCTGGGGACCCTCAGAAAAGCTCCTGGAAGGAACGACTTCAGGGAGGGAAACCCCCAGAGGTGGGGGTTGGTGAGGGGAGAGAGAGGGACCAGGGGCATATGACTCACCAGGCACCAGGAGGAATCCAGTTTTGCTGGGGACTAGCATGCTTGTGGAGTGCCTAGTGAGGGGAATGTTGAAGACAAGGCTGGAAACAGAGGCAGGAACCAGGTCTCAACCCAGGGCTTGGCTGGCTCCCACAGGCCACCTGGATTTTACTGCCTGCCGGTCAGGAATGCTTTTTTAAAAACATTTTAAGTGGTTGAAAAAAAAAAAAACTTAAAGAAGAACAATATTTGTGACACATCTTATAACTTTATGCAATTTAATTTCCCTGTCTTCAATAAAGGGTTTTGGGAGAGGGGCACAGCTAAACTCATTGATTTGTACGTTGCCTTTCGGTAGACAGCTCTGTAACTCCAGCAGAGACCCCGTGGCCTGCAAGACCTAAAATTGTCATCCCTGGGGCCTTCATAGAAAATGCTTGCTGACCTAAAACAGAGGGCTACTTCTGAAAAGTTTGATGAACAAGATTCTAAAAGATACATTTCATGGGGGCCAGCACCGTGGCTCACTTGGTTAATCTTCCGCCTGCTGGAGGTTAATCCTCCTCCCATATGGGCGTCGGGTTCTAGTCCTGGTTGCTCCTCTTCCAGTCCAGCTCTCTGCTGTGGCCCAGGAGGGCAGTGGAGGATGGCCCAAGTGCTTGGGCCCTGCATCGCATGGGAGACCAGGAGGAAGCACCTGGCTCCTGGCTTCGGATCGGCTCAGAGCTGGCCATAGCAGCCATTTAGGGGGTGAACCAACAGAAGGAAGACCTTTCTCTC